TCACATGGAGGAGAAACCACACCAGTGGTCAACCTGTGAGAGTGGCTTCATTCTAGGCATGGGCTTTGTTGCCCAACAGAAAGTGAGAACTCAAACAGAGGAGCTCCATTATAAATACAGTCTGTGTGATAAAAGCTTCCACCACAACTCGGCACTTATTCAACACCAGACAATCACATTGGTGAAAAACCATATATCTGTAATGTTGGTGAGAAAGGTGTTGAGCTCAGCCCTCCCCATGCTTCAGAAGTCTCACAAATGTCTTGACTAGATAAATTAAAATATCATGCAAAGAAATGTATTTACATGTCAGAAAACTCACTATGATGAAAAACCTTAGGCATATCTTAACAGTGAAACAGACTTTTCAGAGCTCAACATCCTAACCTCAGTGGGGACCAGAGAACCATCAGTTATAAAAAAATGTGTGAAATATTTTGCCCAACAGAACATTGTATCCTCCAATGAGAACCCCTACAGATTCCCTGAGTTTTGAGAAACCATTAGTCTGAGCTCAAATCTGATCACCTATTATAGGATTCATAAAAGTCAGGAGCTTTATAATGCAGTGTATGTGACAAAACTTTCTAGCGGTGTCCCACCCTCCTTGTTCCACGAGAATTCACAAAGGAGAACACTTGTTAAATGCCCTCATTGTCAGCAGTGTTTCAGGCAGTGTGCACATTTCATTGGGCTTCAGTACAACTCAACACTTAGAGAAGTTCCAGTAAGTGTGAGAAAAGCAAGCAAAGCTCTGACTTTCTTACACAATTGAGAAACCCCTATGTTGAAAAATTACACATTTGTCATGCGTGTGACAGAAGTATCAGTTGGAGAGCCTACTTGCATTTGCATTTTAAAAAGATCATAAAGTAATATGAAAAAGGAAGCTTCTGCCAGTGACCAGCTCTTGTAGTATACCAGGGAGAAGATCAAAGCTTTAAATATGGATTGGATTACATCTCAATGTTGAGAAAACAAAAATCCTTACCACCAGGATAACGGACAACATCATGACAGATGGAGAAAAGACTGAATGAAGTCAATCCTATTGACTGAATCCTAAGACTGAATGGACTTCATCCTACTTGGATCCAGAATGAACACTTTTGGTACCAGCAGTCAAGAAATCAAAATATGTATTACATTGGGAAAGTCAATTGTCAAGGACCTCTCCAGAGTACCAAAGAGCAATGACTTTAGTGTGCTCGATCCATGTTATGGTCTTTTCAATGACTTGTGATGTAGCTGAAAGTTGGGCAGTGGCTAAGGATGACAGAATAACTGATGGCTTTGAGTTGTGGTGCTAGAAAAGTGTTGAACATATACTATGGACTGCCAAGAGAACAAGCAAGTCTGCCTAGAGAATGTGAAAGCAGGGTGTTCCTTGGAGGCTAAGATGGTGAAACTGCATTTCACATACTTTGAGCGTGTTGTGGAGGGGCCAGTCCTTGGTAAAGGACATCATGCTTGGAAAGGTGGAAGATCGGTATAATAAAGAAAAACCCTCAACGAGATGGATTGACACAGAGACTAACCATGGGCTCAAGTGTGCTGGAAATGGTCAGGTTGGCTCAGGATAGACCAAAGTTTACAGCTGAGGTTCATAGGGTCACTGAGTTGTAGTTGACTCGAGAGCACATACAACAACAATGTATGCATTTTACTGTTTGGGGAATATTGATATTTACTGAAAAAGTAAAACATTTTATCTAGTTAAAAAATAGAAAGCCACCCAAAAAAGCTTCTTTACAGAGAAAACAACGAAGGGTCAGTGTCCATTAAAATTATCTTTGCAAAACAACTATATCATCTCATCCCAATAACAATGGCAAAGTTCAACAGAACAGCAAATAGTAAATGGTTGTGGAGAGATTGGAACCCCTTGTTCACTGCTGGTGGCAGTGTAAAATGGTGAAACCACTATGTGAGGCGATTTGGTGCTTTTCTAAAAACTTGGAAATAGAAATGTCATTTGGCCCAGCAATTCCACTACTGGGAATATACCATAAAGAAACCATAACCGCCATCCAAACAAATATATGCACATTTATGTTTATTGCTGCATTATTTACAATAGCAAAGAGATGGAAGCAACCCAAGTGTCCATCAACAAACAAATGGATAGAAAAACTATGGTATATTAATACAATGGAATACTATGCAGCACTGAAAAACAATGAACTGATAAATCAGTACACGACATAGGAGACCCTGGAGCACATCATGCTGAGTGAAATATTTCAGCCACAAAAGGACAAATACTGCATAGCACCACTGTTATAAAGCAGGTCTGACATGGCGGATTGGGAGGAGAATAGGAAGGGTGGATAATGACCTTCGCATTGGAACAGATGAAAGAAAGAATTGTCTAAAAGGAATATATGGAGGGGGGAAAGGAATATATGATTAGGCATTATACATACAACAACCCAAAATAAGATGTATATCATTGCAAAGAGGGCAGGGGAGAGGGGAAGGTAGGTGCAACAATGAATGAATTTTTTTTTAAAGTAAACTGGGGGAGGGGGAAGGAAAGGGAGTGAGGCAAATGTGCAACAAATGTATGAAAGTCTAACTTCTCTGTAAATGTTTATTAAAATCACAATTAAAATAAAACTTTATTTAAAAAAATTAAAATTATCTTTGCTTCTGCCTAAGAAGTGCATTTGGTGTGAGAGCTATTTCTCTTTATAGAGGGGGGCAATGAAAATTTTAGTCCCAGATTATTTTCTTCTAAATTACTTGTAAATATCACTTGTTCATTCGTCTTTGGCATTTTTTTAAAAAGTACTTATTTGTATCAACTCTTTGCTTACAAAATGCTTGAAGATTTGAAAGTTTTGTGTCCAAATAAGCCTTAATATATTAAGCCCTAATAAATTGTTACTGAAAAATGACTTTTGCATATGTATATACACATAACATGTGCAAACACACACATGCACATGTAGGAGTTTGAGTATACTATGAGTGCTGTATGATTTTTCCAAAATAAAATACTTACCCTGTAATTATGCTTAGAACATTTTAATGGCTTTACATTATTCCAGAAAGAAAACAAAACTTAAATTCCTGTTGATGAACAATTATTTACATTTGAGGAAATTCAGTGGAATCTAAGATACAGGCATTTTGGGGTATTTTTTTTAAGAAAACTCATAATAATAATAAACCCCTCATAACCATTATTTTCCCAGCAAATACTGTTGTTGTTGTGTACCTTCAAGTCAGAACCAATCCCTAGCTGACCCTCCAGCAAGTTTTGAGAGGCAATAAATCACACAGGAGTTGATTGCCCATATTTCTTCTATGTAGAAACTAATGGATTAGAAATGTCTGATTTGGGATTGGCAATGCAACTTCTTACCAGTGGGTCACCAGAGATGCCACTTAACCCCATTACCTCTTTAATAAAGTCCATAACTGCAAGTCTGGCATGTGAGCACTGTATCCAGTCCAACAAATTAAGGGCTCCAGCAGAGGAGAGTGGTGTGAAAGGGAGGCCTGGTCTCAGATTGGTAAAAATTTTGAAGCAGAATTAGATCTAATCTCTATCATGTATGATTCAATGTTAGGCCACTGATGATAGGGATTCGCCCTCCTTCTGAAATTAGAAGAGGAGGTCTGATATCAAGTCATTTTTACTTCTGACATTTTCAAAGTGTTATGGAGAAATCTCCATATTTACAACACTGACTATTCATTCAATTGTTTTATTAAATAGCAGTGTGACTCATTAGCAAGGTTAACAAATTTTCAGTCTGTATTGTCAGAAAATCACTAAGGATAGCTCAACCGAAATATAGACAATGGATTAAACAGTACACAGAGCCCCAAATAACAAGCTCTCACTTGAAAACAGGCTAGGAGAGGACAGAAGCCAGTTGTATACACTGTCTTTGTTGTGTCCTGTTGAAGCTACGTACACTCAAAGCAAACTGTAAGGCAGAGTGGACCTGCCAGTGGTCATCTTTACAGGAAGTGATTGCTGGGACTTTTCACCCATGGAATCGTTGTTGTTGTTTGCTGTGGAGTAAGAACCGACCCATAGCTGACCCTCCAGCAGGTTTTCAGAAGCTGTTAATCACACAGGAGGAGACTACCCATCCTTCTCCCTGGGGAGCAGGTGGTGGACTCAAACTGTGGGCCTTTGGGATCACAATGCAGCTTCTTACCACTAGGCCACCAGAGTCCCTATGCAGTCATTGGTGGGACTGAATTTTCAACTCCTCCTTCAGCAGCTGAGCACCCAACAATTGTGCCACCAGGTCTCCTTTGTAATACAATACTGTTTTTTGTTGTGTACCGTAGTCAGAACCAACCCATAGCTAACCCTCCAGTGGGTTTTCAGAAGCAGTTAATCCCATGGGAGGAAACTGCCCATCCTTCTCCCATGGAGCAGCTGGTGGCCTTGAACTGCATGCCTTCAGGATTACCCTATGGATATTGCAGTTTATTCTACTGAATGGCTTCCCACATTTAAATGATATGTTTTCTTAAATGTTCAGGATGGGGGGTTTTTACAGGCATCCTTGGAGGATCAATTTTTTCAGTATTGCACATGGTTTCATTTTAATACATTTACATGGAAAAATTCAGCAGCAAAGTCCCTGCCTTCATGGAGCTGACAATATAACAGGTATAAAATTCAGTACACTCATCACTGTATGATTGTTAAAGATGAGACCAAGTGCTTATGCTTCCCAAGAAGGCCTGTGTCTGGAGTCATATCTCATAAACGCCAATGATTGGACTGAAGTACTCACTGTACAGTTTATAATGGTTTTCCAATGTGTGCTCTGCTCTGAGCCAGCCTTTAACATAAAAAATCATTTTCTCTGCAGGGTCCTGCTGATTACACAATCCAGGTTTCATACTGAGGCATTACCACTGGTGGACTTGACCACTATCGTCACTTCCAAAATATTCATCAGCAGCAGCACAGAGTTTGTCAGATTTAATCCTCAGCTGAAGCACTTCCTGAAAATTTCATCCAACTAAGGTTTGTCCCCACTGTGGGCTCTCTGGTGCGACTGTAATTGTGACACTCGACTGAAGTCTTTCCCACACACATCACATTTGTACGGTTTCTCTCTGCTGTGGACATGCTCATGGTGCTGAAGGCTTGAGGCATAACTGAAGTACTTACCACATTCCCCACATTGATAGGATTTCTCTCCTTTGTGGACCCTCTGATGCATGTCAAGGTTCAAGCTCCACTTGAAGCCCTTCCCACACACTCCACATTTATAAGGCTTTTCATCATTATGGACTCTTTGATGGGATTGCAGGTGAGAAATCTGAGAGAAGTTCTTCCCACACTCTTCACATTTAAAGGGCTTTATTCCATTGTGGACTCGCTGATGGGTCAGGAGATGTGCAGCCTGCCTGAAGACCTTGCCACATTCCTCACAATTATAGGGTTTTTCTCCTGTGTGGACTCGGCAATGGACCTGAAGGTATCCTCTAGTACTGAAGTGTTTCCCACATTCTTCACATTTGAAAGGCTTTTCTCCACTGTGGACTCTGTGGTGTTTCAGAAGCTGGGAAGCTACCCTGAAGCGCTTCCCACATTCCACACAATTATAGGGTCTCTCATCAGTGTGGGTTCTATGGTGAGTCCGAAGATTGGATCTACTGCGGAAGTACTTCCCACAGTATTCACATTTAAAGGGTTTCTCCCCACTGTGGACTCTTCGATGGGACAAAATTTGTGAAGCCTGCCTGAAGACCTTCCCACATCTTTCACATTTGTAAGGTTTCTCTCCTGTGTGGATCCTATAATGAACTTGAAGAACCGGTCTTGTCCGGAAGGATTTTCCACACTCTTCACATCTGAATGGTTTCTCTCCACTGTGGACTCTCTGGTGGATCAGAAGATGTGCTGCCTGCCTGAAGCCTTTCCCACACTCTTCACATTTATAGGGCTTTTCTCCAGTATGGATTCGGTGATGAATTTCAAGTTTTGATCTTCTATTGAAGTACTTGACACACTCTTCACATTTGAATGGTTTTTCTCCACTGTGGACCTTCTGATGAGGTAGAAGCTGTGAAGTGATCTGGAAACCACAGTCACTGGGTTTCTCTTCTGTGTGGACTCTACAATGAATCTGTAGGTCTGCTCTGTGAGTGAAGCTCTTCCCACAGGCTTCACATTTGTGACGCTTCTCTCCCATGTGGACCAAACAATGAGTGCTAAGTGCTGCTCTTTGATGAAAACTCTTGCCACATATCTCACAACTGAATGGTTTCTCCCCCGTGTGGACTCGCTGATGCTCCTGAAAATGTAGAGGATAAATAAAAGTCCTCCCACATTCCTCACAATGAAGAGGTTTCGCTCCTTGGTGGCCTTTGCAATGAACAATAAGTGTTGCTCTGTGTTTGAAGCGTCTCCCACACTGCTCACATTTGTATGGCTTCTCTGCAGGGTGGATGCTTGAAGGACTGAGAAGATGTAAGTTCTGACTAAATTCCTCACCACACCCATCATGCTTATAACCATTCATTCCCACATGAACTCTTTCATGATTATCAAGATGCAGGATATTATGGGACCTTCTCTCATAGTTATCACATGAGAAAGAATTCTCTCCATAGTGGGAACATGGATGAAGATCAAAGCTGGAGACATCACTGGAGGTTTTTATACTCTCATTGCACTGGTCAGTTTCATCTCCTCTGTAGATAACAGAGAGTCCTCCTGCAATTGGAGAGAGCAGATTCCCGGCTTTGTAGCATGGAGAGCTTCTTACAATGGATTCTTGACATGTGGCTAAGTCACTTGCAATCTGTTGCCAGATACGTGGGCTAGCAAGGCCTTTGTGTACTCCTGCTGGTGGAACAGCCTCCAAACGCCGTGGGATCTTGCCTCCTGTAAGGATAGAAAATGCACAGACACAGACAGGTGAAGGATTTGGTGAGAGTTTTCAAGATTTCAAACTTAAATAGAGGATGATACATTCTTGAGCCAAGAGAAGGTTCAGTTGCTCTCCTCCACTGCATATCATGTTCTATGTTTCTACGTAATCAAAACCAAGAGGGGGCCCACGAGATACTAACCTACAAAGTATTACCAAGATGCATGACAACACCAAATTCCCTATAAAAGGTACAATTTCCAAACCAAACCCTTAGTTTAAGAAATTGGTATTATAGTTGCTGTGTTGTTGTTAAGTGCTGTCAAGTCACCTGAGACTCATAGTGGTGACCCAATGTGAAACAGCTCTGAAGCCTGCACTGTCCTGAGCCAATCTCACTAATTCCAAAACCTACACGTATTGTCCTCATTATTTTATCAATCTATCTCATCCGGTTCTTTCTTCCCTGCCCTGTCCCTCAACCCTTAAAGCATGATGTCCTTCCCCAAGGACCGGTCCCTCCTGGCAAAAAGCCCAAAGTATGTGAGACAGAGCTTCAAAATCCTAGCCTCCAAGGAGAAACTTGGTTGGGTAACCTATTGTTATTGAATTTCAGGTTATGCAGAACGCTGGATGCTAAATTATTCCAAAAAAATCATTATAAAGATGAAAATAAGCAAGATGTGCTTTGTTGCATATCTTATCACTATATTAAAATTTATAAAAAAAACTAATATATAGAAAATGTAGTGAGAATAATAACAGAACCAAAAGTTTTTGTATTTTCAGTAAGCTCTTCAAGAGGAAAATTTATTATTATTATTTTATACTATAATATATATACTAAATATACTAAAACATATATACCCTCTAAGGAGTACAGTGTGCTTCTTCCATTTTATTTTAATGATTCCTGGATTATTCAAGACTTTGCCCATGTTGTTGTTGTTAGGTTCTGTCTAGTTGCAGACCACTCATAGTGACCCTATGACCAACAGATCTGAACTCTGTCCTATTTTGTGCCATCTTTATCCTCCCTGACACACTTGAGCCCATTGTCACCGTCATCTTTTTGAGGGTCTTCTTCTCTTCCACTGACTCTCTACTTTTTGAAGCATGATGTTCCTCTCCAAATAATAGCTTCTTCTAACAATATGTCCAAAGTATGTGGGACAAAGCTTCATTATCTTTGTCTCCAAGGAGTACTCTAGGTATACCTTCTCCAAGACATATCTGTTTTTTTTTCTTTTGGAAGTCCATGTACTATTCAACTCAAAGGCATTAATTCTTCTTCTGTCATTCTTATTCATTGTCCAACTCTCAAATGCACAGCAGTTAATTTGTAATGACCCATGATCCATGATCCCTGGCTTGAATCAGGCTCACCTTAGTATTCAAACTGACATCATTGCTCTTTAGGACTTTGACGAGGTCCCTGACAACAGACTTTCCCAATGTGTGTCTTATTCAGGCCACAGTCTTTTCAAACTCTTCCTATGCATCTATACAATAGAGACAGAAGTGAAGACAAAGAAAAGAACAAGGCACTGTGCAATTTTGGAAAATTAATCTTATGAAGAAAGTGCATTCTTCCTGGAACTCTACAAAGAGAAGATTTATATACAATATAGGTCTGTTTTGGCAATAACTGATGACATACAGGTCCATATTCCCAAAGATTATAATGGAGTTTAGAAATCCCAATTGGGAAATGGGACATATCAAATGTAACTGCTTCTTTTTTTTTTCATTTTATTTTATTATTTGTGTGTGTGTGTGTACCGTCAGATCAGATCTGACTGGTACAGGAGGAGATTGTTCCTCCTTACCCGGCAGAGTATCTGGTGGATTCGAACCGTTCGCCTCTGGGATTGTAGTTGCAGCTCCTTGCCACTAGGCCACCAGAGCTCCCCTTGTAACTGCTTCTTACAGGCAATATCTGTATATCATGTCTGTTGTGTGCAAAATTACTGCCCTGTCAGGTATGTAATGGCACAGTACATAAAGAACCTGTATGTCTTGGTAGTCATAGGGAACTCTGGTGGTCTAGTGGTGAGAACCTGCACTGCAATTCCAAAGGCATGTGGTTCAAATCCACCAGCTGCTCCATGGAAGAAGGATAAGCAATTTCTTCCCAGTGCAATTTACTGCCTCTGAAAATCTGCTGGAGGGTTAGCTATGGGTTGGTTCAGAGTCAATGGCACACATCAAGAAGTTATTTATAATAACTTACTTCTTTAATAGCTTATGCATATACTCATCAACAATTTGTATTATGCAGATGATAATACCCTGCTTGCTGAAACTAAGGAGGACTTGAAATGCTTAAATACTGATTGAAGCTCAACATTAAGAAGACAAAGATTCTCACCACTGGGCTGATTGGCACCATCACGATAGATGGCGAAGAGATTGAGAAAGTTAAAAGCTTTAGTTTGTTTGGCTCCACAATCAACACTCTTGGTACCAGCAGCCAGAAAATTAAGACAAATTGCATTGAGAAAGTCTGCTGTCAGGGACCCGTCCAGAGTACTGAACGATGTCAGTTTGGAGACTGAGGTGTACCTGATCCAGGCCATAGTCCTTGCTATGCATCAGAGAGCTGGACAATGAATAGGGATGCTAAAAGAACTGATGCCTTTGAGCTGTGGTGCTGGAGAAAAGTCATAGACTGCTAAGAGTCTCATCCTAAAGAGGGTGAAACGAGGCTGCTCCTTGGAGGTGAGGATTCTGTCTGATATACTTTGGACATGTTGCAAGAAGTGACCAGTCCTTGGAAAGGGACGTCATGCTTGGGAGGGGGGCGGGACAGCACAAGAGAGGAACACACTCAATGAAATGGCTTGATTCAGTGACTGGAGTCATAGGGGTAGGTGTGTCAGAGGCAGTAAGATTGGCACAGGATAGAGCAGGGTTTAGGGCTGTTATGCATAGGGTTGCTATGAGTCACAGGCAACTTGACAGCACATAACAACAACAACATGTATGTACTGTACTTTCCAAATAAACAATTAATTATGCTTTTCCTCTTTGGTTCTAAGAGTGACGGCTGCCATCTTGAATGACACAGTAACTATCCAGACCAGGAAGTTCATGATCCGCTGACTATTCCAGTGCAAACAGGTGGTTACTGGGTTCTTAAGAATAAAAAATATTATTAAAAAGAAATAAATACTGCCAGATGTTTTTTTAAAATCTAAGAAAAAAATAGTTATTGGTGTTCTTTGTCTTGGGAAGGAAATTGTCCTTAAGACAGAAATTTTGTGGTACAACCACTCTGGAAAGCACTTTGGCACTACCTCAAAAAGCTAAACATATAAATTCCATATGACCCCGCTATTCCAACGCTTGGAATATGTTGTTGTTGTTGCTGTTATGTGCCATCGAGTCGCTTGCAACTCATAGCAACCCTATGTACAACAGCCCTAAACCCTGATCTATCCTGTGCCAATCGCACTTGTCTCTGACACACTCATCCTGATTACCCGTCACTGAATCAATCCACCTCATAGAGGGCCTTCCCCTCCTGCGCCGTCGCTCCACCCTCCCAAGCATGATGTCCCTCTCCAAGGACCTCTCTCTCCTTACAACATGTCCAAAGTATGTCAGACGAAGCCCCAGAATCCTTGCCTCCAAGGAGCAGCCTGGTTTAACCCTCTCCAGGATGAATCTGTT